AACAAAGCTATCTCATTCACAGTTAGCCCAAAAAGCTTGATAAAGAGAGATTTCTAAAACTCCTTATCCAGAAGCAAACTTCTCCTCCTTCCAAAGAGCTATAGTGTAAACACTTGAAGGTTTCCTTGCCTCAAGTACCACACCACGTTGAAGGATATAACTTTTGATCAAACTTCTTGATTAAAAGGGGGTAGATCAACTTTCTCACAAGTTGATCTTGCAGGTCCTATTGTTCGGATCTTGCAGTTGTTGAAGAAGCGTGACCTTCGAAGGAACAACAAAGCCAACACGAGTGCAGTAGCAACTTTGGCCTTGCGAAGATATACCGTGCAGAAACTCACACAAGTGTAATTGTTGGTTCTTTATTCAACAACCAACTACATAGTGGATTTTGAGGACGTAGAAGGATTACCCCACCTTCAAACCTCGTTAAAGTTTGCGTGTCTCTCTCTTTTACCTTTACTCTTGCTTGTAATTATATTAACTGTGAAAACTAACCCATCCATATTGATTACTGCTCATACTACCCACCAAATTCCGCACACAATCTAAAGTTCCCAAAACTCTAGATTTACACTATTTTCACGTTTTCAAAAGAAACGAAAAAGTTTTAAAATTGTAACAAACTCAAGAATGGAGAACTATGATGAGGAATTTGCCATGATGGTCAAACAATTCCGGAAGTTCAAGAAGTTCTTCAAGAAAGTTGAATCAGTCAGAAGACCATCTAAGGGAAAGCCATAGGTAAGTGACTCTCCTCCTGAATCTTATTTATGTTATAACTGCAGGAAACCTGGTCATTGGGAGGCAGCGTGCCCGTACCCAAAGGTGGAGAAGTACGGAGAAAGAGAAAGGAACGAAAAGAAGAAGAAAGCAATGGTTGCAGCTGAAAGTGACGAGTCATCTAGCTCAAGCTCGGATGAAGAAGCCCTCGTTTGCATGGAGCGCAGAGCTGAGAAGTCCAACCATGAGGATCGGTGGACTATGTCAGAAGATGACACCCTCTGCCTTATGGCCAAAGATGATGCCGAACAAGAGGTAACCTCACAAACCTCCTGCTCATCTTCCTGTGAAAGCATACCAACTTCTGAAAGTCTTTTTGACAAGTTCAAAAAGATGATGAAAGATTTTGAGGAAATAAATCTCAAACACTCATCCTTAACAGAAGAGAACAAGCTATTGAGTGAAGAGAATCTCAAGTTGACTGAAGGTCGGAAAAGTCAACTAGATGAGATCACTCAGCTCAACACTGAAAATAAATCTCTCTCTGAAAAGGTGAAATCCCTCAACAAGGAGCTTGGGATACTTAAGTCCAAAGAAGCAGTGGATAAGCTTCTTGAAGCGACTAAACAAAAGGGTCGTGAAGGACTTGGGTTTGACCCCTCCAATTCCAAAAGGAAAGGGAGAACAACTTTCATCCCTCCTAAACCTACTGCCAAATCCAATAAGCAGAAAGGAAAGGAAAAGGAGAAACCCACAGAAGTTCCCAAAAAGGTAGTCCCTCCTAAGAACTATAGGAAGCTGGACAGACCTCAAAGAGGAAATAATTTCAGAAGAAAACCGTCTAACCCCCACTATACGCGAGGCTATACTCATTATGGGGTACATAGGAGTTTTCCAAGAAATTCTGAGTGGAGAACTATGCCAAAATATAGTCAACCTCCACCCTAGAAATTATTTGTTCCACCTAAGTATGCTTAAAACCGACACAGGCCACACTATGCACAACCTAGACAAAACTATAGGTCTTATCAACCTAGGTCTGCCAGGTGGAAACAGGAAAATACACTACCTGTTCGTAGGAAATTTTATGCCTACAATTATGATTACAATCCCAACACGTTTAGGGCTACAAGGAAAATTCCCTGCAACTTCAAACTTGATGTATAGACACACACCATTAACTATTCCGGACCCAAACTGAATTGGGTACCAAAATCTTCCTCCTCCTAATGCAGGAAGCCGCTAAGTACCCAGGTGTCTGGTACTTAGACAGTGGCTGTTCAAGACACATGACGGGTGATGCGAGCCTCTTGAGCAATCTAATTCCCTATGATGGTCCAAGAGTTACTTTTGGAGGAAGCATTGACTTTGGCCTTACTAAAGGGCTAGGAAATGTGGTGTACAAGGGACTAACAATCCAAGCTGTATCTTATGTGGAAGGTCTCAATTATAACCTTCTGAGCATAAGTCATTTTTGTGATAAAGGTTACTCCTTGGAATTCTGTAAGGACATGGCATCTCTCAAAAACATCTCCACAAATGAAGTCATTCTCACTGGGAAGAGAATCAGAAACATCTATGAAGTAATATGGGACGATGTCAAGGAAGCATGCCTAATCAGCAAAGGTGACACTAACCTTCTATGGCTTTGGCATAAGAGGTTGAGTCATCTCAACTTCAAAACTCTCAACAAGCTATCCAAAGAAGGGTTAGTAGAAGGTCTTCCCAAAGCTGTATTCAGGAAGGAAAGCATTTGTGATGCTTGCCAGAAAGGAAAGCAAGTCAAGTCCACTTTCAAGGCAAAACCGGCACCCTCAACTACAAGGATATTAAGTCTTGTTCACATGGACTTATTTGGCCCTGTTACTCCAATAAGTCTGAGTGGAAAGAAATATGTCCTAGTGGTAGTTGATGATTACTCAAGATACACGTGGACAATCTTCCTCAACAACAAGAAGGAAACTCAAGGGAAGCTCACAAACTGCATGAAGCTGATTCAAAACCAAGCAAGTCAGACCATCCAGAAGATCAGATCTGACAAAGGCATAGAATTCCTGAATGAAATCATCATTCACTACTGTGAAGAAAACGGAATTCTTCATCAGACATCTGCAGCAAGGACGCCTCAACAGAATGGTGTAGCTGAAAGAAGAAATAGAACCTTGAAGGAAGCAGTAAGGACCATGCTAGCCGAAGCTTCTTTGCCAAAGAGGTTCTGGGCTGAAGCTGTTAACACAGCTTGCTATACTCAAAATAGGAGTATGATTTATAAAAGGCACAACAAAACTCCCTATGAATTGTGGAACGGGAGAAAGCCCAATATATCATATTTCCATATTTTTGGGAGCAAGTGTTTTGTGTTAAACAACGGGAAGAATCATCTAAACACTTTTGATGAGAAATCAGATGAGGCCATCTACCTAGGATATTCCATGGTGAGCAAAGTGTTCAGAGTCTTCAACAAAAGAACCATGATCACTAAAGAGTCAATACATGTTATTTTTGATGAAAAACATGTGGGTGACAAACCATCAAAGCATGATCATGAGGTTCTGGATCTCTCACACAAGGATGAAGAAGCCAATGAAGGAGATAGAATGAAGCCTACGGAGTTCATTCCATTCGGAAGTCTACCACTGAAGACTTCACAAAGAAATCCGGATTCAGACAGTGCTGAGTCTACCGGAAATCTCGGCCAGCCTTCCATTATTCCGGATCACTCAAACAGCGACAATTCCAGAAAAGGCGACCTAGTGCCAATCCATCTAAAATCACCAACAAACTCTATTCTTCAACTAGAAGCTGAACTAGATCAACCAGTCAACCCTAATCAACACAATCTTCATTGGTTAAGGGATCATCCTCCCCAACAAGTCATTGGAGATATTCAATCTGGCGTTCACACAAGGAGTGCCCAAATGAGTCATTAACAAGACACTATTCAAACTACAAGATGGAGAAGATCTCTTATTGGTCCAAATCTATGTGGACGACATCATATTTGGCTCTACTAAGGAAGCTCTTTGCACCAAATTCTCCACCCTCATGCAAGAAAAATTTGAGATGAGCATGATGGGGGAACTCAACTACTTCCTTGGTCTTCAAATCAAGCAAAGAAGTGAAGGAATTCTCATCAACCAAGCCAAGTACACAAGGGATCTTATCAAGAAATTTAAAGTTGATCAGAAGTCATCCGTTTCTATCTCCATGAGTACATCTACCAAGCTTTATATGGATGTAGATGGAAAGGATGTTGATCAAACTCTCTACAGAGGAATTGTTGGATCTCTACTCTACCTTACTGCAAGCCGTCCGGATATCTCATATGCAGTAGGTGTTTGTGCCAGATTCCAGTCCAAGCCAAAGGATAGTCATCTGATTGCAGCTAAAAGGATTCTTAGATACCTCAAAGGAACTTAGAACATGGGTTTATGGTATGCTAAGAGCAATACATTTGAGTTGGTGGGATACTCAGATTCTGACTTTGCCGGATGCAAAGTTGACCGGAAAAGTACATCTGGTACTTGTCAATGCATTGGTGGAAATCTTGTTTCTTGGTTCAGTAAGAAACAAAACTCCATCTCTACATCAACAGCAGAAGCAGAGTACATTGCTGCTGGTATTTGTTGTGCTCAGATCTTGTGGCAAAAGCAACAACTACTGGATTATGGAGTCAAGACAAGAGAAGTGACAATTTTCTGTGACAATCAAAGTGCTATAGCTATCTCACAAAATCCAGTGCATCATTCTCGCACTAAGCACATTGATGTCAAACATCACTTCATCAGAGATCATGTGGAAAAGAAAGATATCAAAATTGAGTATATCTCAACTGAGGAACAACTGGCGGATATCTTCACAAAACCACTAAGTGAAGCCAAGTTTTCCAATTTGCTTCACAAAATTGGTCTAATTCAATTAGACTGAGTGCGGTACACGTGGCAGTCCACTTTCCACGTCTGTCAAAATATTGGGTAGGCACGTGGTCTTGGGAACAGTTAAAAACCCAATCGCCACTAGCCGCATAAATCGCCCAAATTAAACCCAATCGCCACTATAATCAGATCTCAACTGCCCACTCAGCCCACTCAAATTTTTCATCGTCTTCTTCGCGAGAACCTTCTGACAGAATTCTAAAGAACCCTAATTTCTTCAGATCTTCTCACTCAAATTTCTGAGAAAATGAAGATTGTTGGCGCTAATGTCCATTTCCAGAAGTTGGAAGCCAAGTGCTCTTCACCAACGTTCTATCAATCCTATCTGGAGATGATTGCTGCTCAAGAGATCTCCAAATTCCTTCATATGGAGATTTGATTCAAGTATGAGAACAAAGTTCTTGAATTCTACAAGAATGGAAAGGTCAAGACTGTCAAATCGAAGAAGGACCCACAGAGGACGATTCAAGTCATCAAGTCCACTGTTGGAGGAACTGAAGTGAAGCTCTCTCAGAAGAAATTGGGAGAAAAGCTTCACCTTCCCAATTCTGGAGTTGAAATTGGGAGACTTCCAGCCAAGAATCTGGATTGGAATATTATTGGAATTTCTGGGCAAGTTCCCTCTGGCCCAGCAACGAAAGCTGATCTAAACAACGACTACAAGCTAGTCCTTGAACTGGTCATCGCATGCCTCGAGTGTGGAAGTGGAGGACATGCCGATGACATCACCCAAGAGAGGGCCTTTGTAACGACCCAAAAACCGGCTTAGTAGTTAGCCGTAATTTTAATAAAAAAATAAATATAATATTTATTTACTCTAAAATATGGATTATTGGTAAAGTTATCCGTTTTAAATGAAAATTGGGTTTTCGGATAGATCCCATAAAATGGTGACTAACGGTATATAATTTGTTAAATTTGGACTTACGTGTAGAACATGGTGAGTAAAATAGAAGTTACAGTTCAATAAATAAATATAAATATTTATAATTATAAAATAGTAATATAAACTATTATTCCTAAACCTACCCGCAACCCAAATCCCAAACTCATTCCAAATTAGAAAAGGACTCCCTATCCTATATATATACACGCACGCCACACAAAAAGAACGTAACAGACCCTACGCCGAAGAGAGAAAAGAGAAGGGAGCAGAGCTGCTGCCCGAACGCCGGGAAAAAGGTTGTCGCCGCCGCCACTCCAGCGTTGCTGCTCCGCCGTCACTGGGAAGCTGACCGACGTCGCTGCTTCGCCGTCACCGGAAAACAGCCCCGCCACTGTTCGCTTGGTCATTGGTTCAATTCGTCAATTTGTTTTAATTCGTCAATTAATCGAGGTCAGAACTTGCACATCTAACGCTAGATTATGTATATAGATTTGAAATTCACGTTCGTAGTTTCGTAT